GAACTCCGTGGATCAACGGGATGAGGGCGGTACCCTCTACCTATCATCTCTGCCTCAAATTCCCAACTCCAGCAGGTGTTGAAACGATGTGGGGGAATCAGAAGGAGTCACGAATGTGCTGCCTAGCCGAGCACAAGCTGAGGAACCCCGTCACCGACACACGAGCAGACATCGACCGCAAAAAGATGAAGACAGACCGAGAGCCCGCGAACGAGCTCTCGAAACTCTTATAGCAATTACAGATCGCGGAGAGCCGCGAAACGCGCGCCGAGCCAGTATGCGACGCGGTGGACTCGTTGTGTATAGACGAGGCGCGTCCGGAGCGATGCGTCGAAATAGGAACAAAACTAGAAGAACCTCTGAGAAGCGAACTCCTTTCCCTCCTCAAGGAGAACATCAACACTTTTGCCTGGACAACAGAAGATATGCCAGGCATAAGCATCGACGTAACCTGTCACGAGATGAATGTGGATCCGACGTTTAAGCCAGTCAAGCAGAAAAGAAGGAAGCTCGGCCACGAACGAGCTAAAGCAGTTAACGGCGAAGTCGAAAGGTTACTCAAAGTGGGATCAATTGCCGAGGCCAAATATCCGGACTGGCTCGCAAATCCGGTGGTCGTAAAGAAGAAGAACGGCAAGTGGCGAGTATGTGTGGATTTCACCGACCTCAACAAGGCGTGTCCAAAAGACAGCTTTCCCTTGCCACACATCGACCGGCTCGTCGAAGTCACTGCAGGGAATAGACTGTTAACATTTATGGACGCGTTCTCCGGCTACAATCAGATCCTGATGCATCCTGATGATCGAGAAAAAACGGCATTCATAACTGATCGCGGGATATACTGCTACAAAGTCATGCCGTTTGGGCTCAAGAACGCAGGAGCAACGTATCAACGGCTCGTCAATAAAATGTTTGCGGCTCAGCTCGGAAAAACCATGGAAGTATACATCGACGACATGTTAGTCAAATCACTCAAGGAGGAAGACCACGTCGCGCATCTACGGGAATGCTTCGAACAATTGAACAAGCACAACATGAAACTAAACCCGGCGAAGTGCAGGTTTGCGGTCACCTCGGGAGAATTCCTCGGCTATCTGGTAACTCACCGAGGCATAGAAGCAAACCCCAAGCAGATCAAGGCGTTAATTGAGATGCCCTCTCCAAGGACGAAGCGCGAAGTGCAAAGGCTCACAGGTAGAGTCGCCGCGCTAAACAGGTTTATTTCCCGTTCTACAGACAAAAGCCTGCCCTTCTACGACACCCTCCGAGGAAACAAGAAATTTGAGTGGGACGAACGATGCGAGACGGCTTTCCAGGAACTGAAGAATTAAATGGCGAGTCCACCAATCTTAGCAAAACCAGTCGAAGGAGAGCCACTCTTCTTCTACGTCGCAGTGTCTGCTACAGCCCTAAGCGGAGTGCTTATCAGAGAAGAACGATCCGAGCAAAAACCCATTTTTTACATCAGCCAGACACTAACCGACGCCGAGACCCGCTACCCCCAGATCGAGAAGGTCGCCCTAGCCGTCGTAGTCTCGGCTCGCAAACTGCGCCCGTACTTTCAATCACATTCGATTGTTGTGCTCGCTACGCTTCCGCTGCGCTCGATCCTTCACAGCCCTAACCAATCCGGTCGGCTCGCCAAGTTGGCCATAGAGCTAAGCGAATACGACATCGAGTATCGGAACAGGTCGTCTGCAAAGTCACAGGTGCTCCAGATTTCCTCATTGAACTTCCCGCCGAAGCAACAAACGAGCTGACTCTAGACGAAGTAAGGACGCTGCACCACGATGGCTCGTCGTCTAAACACGGCTCGGCTATAGGAATTTGCCTCACCTCTCCCACCGGAGAGATATTGGAGCAGTCTTTTCGCCTAAACTTCCACGCCTCGAACAACGAAGCGGAATACGAAGCACTGATCGCCGGCATACGACTAGCGTAGGGAATCGGAGTTCGAAAGATAAGAACCTTTTGCGATTCACAGCTCGTAGCATGTCAGTTCAGCGGAGAATACGAGGCGAAGGATGGACGAATGGGAGCTTACCTCAAGGTGGTCCGAGAGTTGGTGCAAAAGTTTGACGAGTTCGAACTCACGCGCATTCCCCGAGGGGAAAACACCTCGGCCGACGCCTTGGCAGCACTCGCTTCGACTTTGGACCCAGACCTCCGACGGACGATCCCAGTCGAACTCATCGAACGTCCTAGCATAGAAGAGGTGGAAAGAGTTCGGCTGATAAATCCTCCTGAACAAGAACCAGAGGACGCAAAGCCATTCCTATGGATGAAGACGCCTCACCGGCCGAGCCGGAGTACGACTGCGACAAAAAATGGCTCGGAGCTATCCGAGTGTATATCGCCGATGAAGAGGTGCCAACCGACAAATGGGAAGCCCGCAAACTAAAAGCTCAGGCCGCACGGTATGTCCTCGTCGATGGCGAGGTGTTTAAATGGAGATTTTCAGGGCCTCTCATGATATGCGTCGAAGGACCGGAGGCAAGAAAGATCATGCACGAGGTGCACAGCGGCGCGTGCGGGAATCATTCCAGCGGAAGGTCGCTCGCTATCAAGATAAAACGGCACGGCTACTTCTGCCCACGATGGTCAAGGACTGCGAGAAATTTACGGCAAAGTGCGAGAAGTGTCAGCGGCACGCTCCAACAATTCATCAACCTACCGAGTTGCTCTCGTCAATTTCGTCACCCTATCCGTTCATGAGATGGTCGATGGACATCGTCGGACCTCTACATCGCTTAAAGCAGAAGCGTTTTCTGCTCGTCCTCACGGATTACTTCTCCAAGTGGGTCGAAATCGATTCCTACGCAAGCATAAAGGATGTTCAAGTCGAACACTTCGTCTGGAAAAATATCATCTGCCGACACGGGGTCCCCTACGAGATAGTCACCGACAATGGATCCCAGTTCATCTCAAAACGCTTCGAAGCCTTCTGCGAGAAGTGGAAAATCTGCCTCAGCCAAGATACCCTCAAGAGAACGGACAAGCCGAAGCAGCCAACAAGACGATCCTCGACGGTCTGAAAAAGAGGCTCGACGCCAAGAAGGGACGGTGGACAGACGAACTCGAAGGAGTCCTTTGGTCTCATCGGACAACTCCGCGCCGAGCCACCGGGAAAACTCCATTCGCTTTGGTCTACGGATCGGAGTAAGTAATTCCCCCCGAGGTGGATTTCCCAGGTATTCGACGAAGACTTCTACCAGGACAGGAGGGCTTGAACCACTTAATGATGCTAGATGAGCTCGACCTAATCAACGAAAAGCGCGACCTAGCCTTAATTCGGATCCAGAACTATCAACAAGCAACGGCGCGATACTACAACAAAAACGTTCGTAGTCGAAGATTCAAAGCAGGGGAGCTCATCCTCCGAAAGGTCTTCCAAAACACTGCCGAGAAGAACGCAGGAAAGCTCGGAGAAAATTGGGAAGGTCCTTACAAGGTCACAAAAGTGGTTAGTCCAGGAGTCTACGAACTCGCGACACTAGCTGACGAAGCGATTCCAAGATCATGGAACGCAATGCATCTCAAAAAGTATTATCACTAAAGCTACAGCACGGCCAGCATGAACTATGAGACGGCTTGATCCCTGCAAAGGGTACGTAGGCAGCCCGTCCTCAGACGGATTCAGCTGTCCCCCCTCCTAAAAAGGGGGGGGGGAGTGGGTACGTATGCACATACCTTCTTTAACTCGACAATTTTAACTCGCTCACTTAGGAACATCGCCACTTCAGCACATTCTCAGTTCGTTTTTAATCATCTACTTATTGCATGTTTACCTTGGATTTCTAGTTCGTTCATTATCGCTTCGGCTAGTTTCTCATTTTTTCTAAATCAGCAACTTATTTTAACAAGCTCGGATTTTTAAAATTTTATCACTCATCACTTCGGCAAGTAATCACACCACTTCGGCATGATATCATGACCTGATTACCTCGGACCTTAATCGGTCCTCAGTTTCAGTTCGGCAAACTAAGCCTCCGAACGCCTCGTCTCGTTGCTGGCCACAACGGGGCAACAAATACAAAGTTCTCTAAACGGACTTTTACCACCTTTCCTAGGACGAGGGTGCAAGTTACATCCTCTACGGATTAACATTAAGCGCGCTATACAAATATCAGACCAAAAACGTATCAGGTCGCCACGGTTTACTATCGCACACGAGAATATAAGTCGAGACTACATCGCTTTCTTTAAAACCGAGGTAAACTCTTAAAACCCGGACAAAACATACTCATCTTGGAAACGCCGGTCCATAGTCAAATTCAATGAGACTACCAAATCATCCTTGGCTAACAAAAACAAAACGCCTCGTCGTTTACACGGCTCGGCACCACGCAAAGATAAAACGCCTCGTCGTTTTCACGGCTCGGTACCACGCAAAGATAAAACGCCTCGTCGTTTTCACGGCTCGGCACCACGCAAAGATAAAACGCCTCGTCGTTTATACGGCTCGGCACCACACAAAGAGAAAAAGCCTCGTCGTTTACACGGCTCGGCACCATGCACAGCAAAAACGCCTCGTCGTTAAATACGGCTCGGCATTGCCAGCAAAAATTTGCCTCGACATTATCATTTAAAAACTTTTCAGCATCACCTAAAAAGGCGATCCACAAAACTAACTCCTAGCTCGGGATTAAGAATCAAAACGAGATCCTTAAAACAACTCACCCCTTAGCCCGTATTTCTATCAAATTTGAAAAGTTCGGCTAAAGAAGCAATCCAAATCATTCTCGACACAACAGTTTTCATCCTTGACAATTTTTCTAAGCCAACAGTTTTCGTAAACATTTTCACGGATCGTTAGACAAGTAAATCCGAAAACGGTTAAAGAAAAATAAAATATATCCATAAAGCAAAAATATAAGTCAAGTGGATAAAGCCATCCAGGCACCGATTGCATAACGAGTTCGAAAAGTGAATCATCAAAAAACATAAGTACAAAAAAAAGAAGAACATATGCAATAAAGGGTGAGGGAAAGCAGAGAGTATCAAGCTGCGGACAGCGTCTCGCGCTCGGCACGGAGGTTCGAGAGGGCCGGTGTCCCCGCGTTCGATCCGGTCGGATCAACGACACCCAGGTTGGCCGCTGTCTCTTCAAGCGACTTGTTGCCAATGCTGGTGTCTACCGAGTCCGGCGATACGGGAGAGTAAAACAGCTCGCCTCGAATCTCGGAAGCAATACGCTCGTACGTTTCGTCGTCGGTATACTCACTCTCCCAGCTTTTCAGCTTCGCCTCCTCGTCATCAAGCGTCGGGGCGTCCGGTTTCTTCAGGTCGGAAATCATCGCAAGATTTCCCTTGATCTGCCCCAGATCGTTCTCATCATTTTTGGCCTTCTCGAGCTTGACCAAACCTTCCTCTACCTTGGCGAGGCGTTCCTGAAACTTAGCCGTAAGCTCTCGCCTCGCCTCCTTTTTCGCCCGCTTGACCTTGACGTCGAACAAGGCGTCCTTGGCCTCGATACGCCTCTTCAGCAACGCCACCTCGGCGCTTTTGGCTCTCCTTGCCTCCTCCAGGCGAATCACCGAGGCGGAAACTTTGTCAATGTTGGCGCGGAGAACTATTTTCTCCTCTTCCAGCCTCGACACTCTGGACATCGCCTCGTCGAGTTTCCCCTTCGCCGCCGCGGCTTCGTTTTGAGCCTCTTCCAGCTTCGCCTTTGACGCCTCGGTCTCATTTCGGTCCTCGTCCAAGCGACGTTCGACCTTAGACAGGTCCGCCTCGTACTCGGCCATCAGGTCGTTAATGGCCGCGACAAACTGCACAGAACAAACTCGCGTTAAACACTTAGTAAAAGTTTGCGAAAATAAAGGAAAGCAAGTAGAACGTACCTTGGTACCACGCTGAGCCATCGCACCGTACGACCTCGGCCTCCTCAGCTTCTCCGGAGGAGGAAGACGCGTGTTCGCGTTTTTTACACGCGTGTTCGCGTTTTCGGGGTCGTCGACGACTAACTTGCGCATGGCGGGGTCCTCGGGCATCGGTTTCCGCCTCTTCTTGGACGGCTCGTCCTTCTGAATAGCAACGCCCTTCCCCTTGTCAGCGTTTTCGGCTCGGGTCATGTTTCTGAACAACTGAAGTCGGGGGCCTCGTCGACTTTGGGAGGGCTAAAATGGCGGAGTTCGAAGGAGTTTTGCTCCGCACCGCTGAGTTTTCCCCGGACACCTCGGGAATAATTTTGCCTGGTTCCACCTCGAGCGCTGCATCCCTCTCGACCGCCTCGGCAGTATTGCCTTCTGCGGCTCGGACCATTTCGTCTCCTTCCCGGCTCGGCGGGTCGGGTTGAGGGATGGCCTCGGTTTGCGTTGGAACCGCCTCGGTCTGCGCTTGAGCCGCCTCGGCAGCTCGTCTCGCGGCCTCTTCTTCCTCGTGCCTCTTCCTTTCTCTGAGAGCGATTATCACCATCTTCTCTCGAGTATCTCTTGAAGAACTGGAGGACGAAGAGCTGACGGGGACTCCGGCGAGGATGGCTCGCGCTTTTTCCACTCTTTCGAGGGTCAAATTCTTCCTCCAATTAACCTTCCGCGCCGAAAGAGAGTCGGGAATCGGGGGAAGAAAGCACCGAACTACAAAACAAAGCAAAAAAGAAAATTTTCAGTAAGGGAAGAGGATACCAAAAAACAGTTCTGAGTCGAGGCAAAGCTTCGGGTCGGCTACCAAGTGGTCCCCAAGCGGTCTTGGTTCTTTGAACGTAATTCTCGCCGACCGACGCCTCGTTCACCAAGATGTAGAAGAAACGTTCAGTCCAAAACTGATCCTTGCTGGGAAAATCGCCGATGATCCGTCGCTTATGCCTTGTTGGAAATATAGAATATATTTCTCTTTGGAGCTTTCCTGATTTCCAGCAAGTTCAGCAGGTGATTCAGCTCGATATCAACTCCACACTCGAAGCTTCGAACTGAGATGCCAATCATATGCCGTAATCCCCTCGGCATGATTTGCCCAATCGAGATCCCGTGTTTCCAGAGATATTCAAGGATCACTCCGGGGATCGGGAACCAGAGGAAGCAAAGCTCAAAGAACGCCTCGTACAGAGTGAAATGATTCTCTGGGGGCTTGTCGGGTCGGTCGCTCTTCTCTGGAAAGACGAACTCCACCGCCTCGGATATCCCGAAGCGATGCCTCAACGCCTCGAGCAACTCAAGGGAGCAAAGCGTAGAGCCAGGCAGGTCAGGTTTTTGTCTCTTAACTCTTGGCCCTCGCCCAGATGTGGAAGCGCCTCGAGACGCCATGAGACGTTCCAATTCACGCTTCGCCTCGAAAAGGTCAAAGGGAAATGCCTCCTCCTTGGCCTTAAGTGCGGCGCGATTAACGTCTTCACCAGGAACGGGATCCTGGGGACGGCTCGTCGAAACCGACGGCTTGTCATCCGGAGAGCCGACATCTCACGGGTTTGCATGGTTTGACGCCTCGTCAGATGAACGATTGGAGGGGCTCGGCGAAACAGACGCCTCAGAGGATTCTGCCGTACCTCTCGCCTCGGCATCTACGCGGATCGGCTCGTAACGAAAAAGTGAATCCAACGAATCGTCGGAGCAGCTCGACATAATTTACGACTTATACAAGAGTTACAGCACAACTCGGCGAGCCTCTGCCGAAAAAAGATCTGAAACGGCGGAGACCTCGGAACCCTAGCCGGAAAATAAATAAACTAGAGAGAGAAAGAAGAGAGAATGGAGAGCTACCTTTAGTAAAAACGAGTGAGTCTGAAGATAATGAGGAAGAATGAAGGAGCTCACCCAATTATAGGAAAACCGAAGAGCGTGAATTCCGCGTAAACCTCGGGAAACCGTCCAAAGAGACCAAACTGCGTCGGTCGCACGCGCCAATAAATCAGGAATCTTCTCTCGGAAGACCAACAGTTGGGATATCCAAGTTTTCAGCCGGTATCTTACCAAAGTAAACGCTTCGTCGTTAACGAAACGGCTCGGCATTAACTCTTTCTCTCGAAACGCCTCGTCGTTAATGAAACGGCTCGGCATTAACTCTTTCTCTCGAAACGCCTCGTCGAAACGGCTCGGCATTAACTCTTTCTCTCGAAACACCTCGTCGTTAACGAAACGGCTCAGCATTAACTCTTTCTCTCGAAACGCCTCGTCGTTAACGAAACGGCTCGGCATTAACTCTTTCTCTCGAAATGCCTCGTCGTTAACGAAACGGCTCGGCATTAACTCTTTCTCTCAAAACGCCTCGTCGAAACGGCTCGGCATTAACTCTTTCTCTCGAAACGCCTCGTCGTTAACAAAACGGCTCGGCACGAACTTTCTCTCGAAACGCCTCGCCATTTATTTGGCTCGGCATAACCTTCTCGAATCACCTCGTCACGGCTCATCATTACTAAAACGAAATCGCCTCGTCCTTAATTTGCCTAGGCATCTTCGGTACCCTCTCGAAACACCTCGGCACCTTCGGCACTCCTTGGGAACGCCTCGGCGTCTTCATTCCCAAAACACCTCATCTGGGCTTACGTCATAACATCTTAACTCGATGGTTTATCCTACGGTCAAGAGTAATGTACCTCGTCACTCTCGCCTCCGAAACTGACGAGCTGGGGGGCTAACTGTTAGGGTCGGTTTTCACCCCACGCAGATAAAACCATCTCAAAACGACTAAGTATGGAAGAAAGATAAGTGGGAGAGCCGTGGTCACCGAGTGGGAGAGCCGTTGTCACCCAGACAAGTGGGAGAGCCGTTCTTATCAAGTGGGAGAGCTGTTCTCACCAGGACAAGTGGGAGAGCCGCGATCACCAAGTGGGAGAGCCGTGAAGATAGACCAGTAGGGAGAGCCGTGAAGAAAGATAGATGGGCCGAGCCGTATCGTAAGAAATGGGCCGAGCCCCTCTCCAACATGTCTGGGCCGAGCCGCGCCTCGGTGAGGTGGACCGGATCATGTCTCGACTAAAATGGCAAGTGGGCCGAGCCGTGGAGAAGTTAGATGGGCCGAGCCGTGGAAAAGTTCAGATGGGCTGAACCAAGGTCTTAAGAGACGAAGCCCATAAAAACCCTAGGCGAAGTACAAAGGCGGTGAGCCGCACGAGGCGATAAGGAAATATTCCTAAAATTTCTCCCGAGATTCTCGGCTAGGCGGTTCGGAGAATTAGTATAAATAGATGATGTATACAATTCAATCTGTAACTTTTGCAACCCTAAGCAATAAGAGCTAAACACTTTTACAGTAAGAAAAATTTTCTTTCGATCTTGCTGTTTTTGGCGATAAACCCTAGAAGTTTCCGATCCCTTAGTTTTCCTTAAATAAATTTCTGGTTGTGCGAGTTTTGGCTCACACAAACACCCTTGTTATATGCCTGAAGACTGAGACTTAGTTTGACATATTTAAGGTTAATTTTATCTATATCAAAAGATTCAAAACTATGATATATAGCCAGCCTAATGGCTTGTATTGTTGTCGTTGTGTCATTACCAACCTATTCAATGCATTTTGATGGAATTTTTTTCTTCAAATCATTCTCGTAGGGTCGTATATAAAGCATACTTTTGTTTTCACTGAAATATTTTCCAGGTCTCTCTAACGTTCTTTTTTGGAACAAAACTCTCTCTAACTTATTCAAATAGATAAGGAATTCTAAAGAACTTCACTACAAAGGACCTTCATTTCGTGGAGTTTCTTCTCACAATTTCTGGATTTATTCTTCAATTGAAATATGAATAAAAAGAACATACATGCCAATAGCGTGAATGCAAGAACAGAAAAGCAAATAACATTTTTTGTCAAATCTAAGCTACATTTTATCAAACACAACATCAAACTCTTCATACGTAAATATCAGTATATCCATGAGGAAACTAACTTGATGAAAGCAAAAATGAATTCAGCCGCATAATACGGTAACATGAAATAAAGATGTTAATATAACTTTTTCTTTAATTGTTTCGTTCTCTCGCAAGCTTTTGGAATTCAAAACAGATTATCACCTAAAGGAAGCTAAATCATAGAACGTACGTAGACAGAAGAGCATATACAAACAAATGTTGCCAAGAAGATCGTTGGAATCAGCCGAGGTGGCTAATGAAAGAGCAGAGCGATACCAAGGTAAGATTACCAGCTTTGTCATCCTCACTTGCCTTGTTGCAACCATTGGAGGATGCATTTTTGGGTATGACATCGGTGTCTCAGGTTCTATACAACTAATTTCTTTCTCCTCAAATCCAATCTAAAGACCTTAGTAGTGAATAAGTGAGTGCATCAAATAGCTCCAACGGCTCAAGGGCTTTGTTTTTTCAGGTAGTGTCACGTCGACGGATGGATTCCTTAAAGAATTTTTCCACACTGTGTATGAAAGAAAGATGAATGCTCATGAAAATAACTACTGCAAATTTGACGACCAAGGACTGGCAGCGTTCAATTCATTACTGTACATTGCGGGTTTGGTTGCCACTCTTATGGCCTCACCAATCACCAGAAAGTATGGACGACGTGCAAGCATCATATGCGCTGGGATCTTCTTTCTAATTGGAGCTGCTGTAAATGCTGGGTAGATGAACCTCATGATGCTTTTTCTGGGACGGATCATGCTTGGTTTTGGCGTTGGATTTGAAACTCAGGTTATGTGAGTGGAGTGGACAATGAGGTTGTATATAATGGAAAATCAAAAATCCCATCTAACAACACAATCTCTCTTTTTTTTTTCAGGCAGTTCCTGTGTATTTATCAGAGGTTGCACCAGCCCATATGAGAGGGGGTCTGACCATTTTGTTTCAGTTGGCAACAACTATTGGTATCTTTGCGGCCACCATGATCAGCTACGCCATGCGAAACCTCAATCCTTGGGGCTGGAGGCTTTCTCTTGGTTCAGCTGCTTTTCCAGCTCTGCTCATGACTCTTGGCGGTTATTTTCTTCCCGAGACTCCTAATAACCTGATCGAAAGAGGATTGAAAGAAAGGGGCCGGCATGTGTTGGAGAAACTGAGAGGAACAAAAAACGTCAATGCAGAGTTTCAAGATATGATAGATGCTAGCGAGTTAGCGAATTCTGTCAAGCATCCTTTTAAGGACATTCTGCAGAAACGTCACAGGCCTCAGCTTGTCATGGCGATTCTCATTCCTATGTTTCAGATCCTCACTGGAACAAACTGTATTCTCTTCTATGCACCTATTCTCTTCCTGACAATGGGATTTGGTGAAAATTCTTTACTCTATTCTGCAGTCCTCATAGGGGGTGTCCTTTTCGTCTCAACTTTTGTTTCCATCGCATTAGTGGACAAATTAGGTCGGCGAGCTCTGCTGATTAGTGGCGGATTACAAATGATCATCTGTCAGGTAAGAAGTTCATAACCATTTGCTTACATACAATCATCATATGTGTGCATAGGAAATCTCACGGTCTCACTGCTTTTTGGAAATAGATCATTGTTGCAGTGATATTGAGTCTGAAATTTGGAGACAACCAAGACCTATCAAAAGGATACTCCATCTTGTTGGTCTTCTTCTTTTCCCTCTTTATTCTGGGATATGGATGGTCGTGGGGTCCGCTTGGTTGGACTATACCGAGTGAAATATTTCCCTTGGCGACCCGTTCTGCGGGGCAAAGTATCACCGTTTCTGTTAATCTCCTCTTCACCTTCATCACTTCCCAGGGTTTTCTGTATCTCCTATGTGCACTAAAGTTTGGGATTTTTCTTTTCTTTGCTGGTTGTGTTTCCGTGATGACAATATTTGTCTACTTCTTGTTGCCTGAGACGAAAGGAGTACCAATTGAAGAGATGACACTCATATGGAGGAAACATTGGTTCTGGAAGAAACTATTGCCTGAAAATCTTGTAGCCCAAAGCAGTCATGTGCAAAGCAGTTCTCTTCAAACTAGCTAAGAAAACAGTACCGAAAACCATTTCCATCAAAGAAAAATAATTGATTGCAAGTGCATTATGCTATTACTCTCTCATTCGGAAATTACCTAAGCTGCTACAGTCAAATACAGGATTTTATATTTAACTCTTTGACTTTCTTCAATGTCTTAATTTGGATCAATTTTAACAAAGATTGTAGCAAACTCAATACCAACACTGATTCTTCTTCATCATTGTCTGACCCATGTTGGGGTCGGATTCCAACCCGACAAGTTTAGCTGTCTGGAAATGACTAAGTATGACATTGGGCAATCTTGGCTCAAACTTGCCGGTCAAGCGAACCCTGACGAACCAAACTAGGAGCCAAAGCGCATTAAAAAGAAAATGAGGGCCGAGCCGCACCAGGAGAAAAATTGGGCCAAGCCAGACCGTGTCAGGCCGAGCCCGAACCCAATCAAACTGCATGGGTCGAGCTGGGGACCAAGAAAGTAGAAGTACGATCCGTCCGATGGGTCAGAAAACATTTCGATTTTTCTACTCCTGCAGGAACGTCGGGCGGCAACACAAGCAATCCCAGAGCACCGCCGATGCTGCACCCCTTCGACGAGCAAACTCCAGCGGCAACCAGAGAAATCTTGACGGATCCACTTTGCCGTTGTCGTTGTGTTAGACGACTAGGCAA